AATTGCTAGTAATTTCAATTAAATTCTGACATCAAAATAAAAAACGAATTGAAATTGAAATTGAAATCAGAACACCACCATCGGCACCAAGGACGTCTTTGCACCATAGTTGTGCCTCCACCACTGCTCCTCCATCACCACTCTCTAATCTATCTTCCATTCCTCACCACACTCAACCACCATACAACCCAAAACCCAAATCACCTATCGCCAACACAGACCACCACCCAACACTAATTTACATAAAATCAAAATAGAAAAAGTCCAAGACAAATTTATCATCACCAATAACACCAAAATTAACCAAAAAAAGTGAAACCAAAGAGAAATTCTAATTATCTGTTGAATTAAGGAAAATTCGAGTGACTCACCAGAGCTACAACGAACAACCCAACACTTCGGTAAAGCATCCTCCATTAATTAGTGAAATTCAAAGGTGAACAACCTATCGACTCACTAGATTGAATTTTGGGTGGGTTGATGAAATTCAAAGCCAAGGTAGTGTTATTGGTGGGTACTTTAATTTGGTTTGATTGAGGTAGCTATATGCGGCGGCTAGTGGGAGAAGATTAAAAGGAAGAAGAGAAAAGGTATAGGTGGCTGTCGATGGTTATCGGCTGCGAACTAAGGTAAAAGAACGATGCATGAGGTGGTGGCTGGTGACGGTGGTTGGATGCAGTGGGCTGGTTGGAGAAGAGGAAAGGAGAAGAAAAAAGGTGGATGTTTTAAACTCTTTAAAAACGTCATTTAAAGTGACATTTTTGTCCCTTTTTGTACTATTTAAAAAGGTAATTTGGAATGATATTTTTCAAAAGTGACTAGATTTGATAAATAAGTTTGAAAGTGCATACTTTTGGGAGTTAAGTAGCCTAAAAGCATGAGAATGGTGAATATCTGGGTAGTGGGGTGGGTTGGTTATCTTGTTAGTTATTAACAATTTGTATTTAATGACCTTGTTATCAATGAAAAGAGTATGATGTTGGATTTGTGATCAACTTTCCTAGTAGAGATTTTGGGGGGTCAGTTTCCCTCGAGTGAACTACCGGAGGTTTCCATCCCCCACAAAGCCTATTTTCTTCCCTTCAATTTTATTTTCATTTTGTTTTTTTAATTTTTTCAGTGTTTTTCTTTATTGGTTTTGGACAACTTGTCCACCCTTGACCGATATTGTACTGTTTACACTTATATTTTTTTATCAATGGTATTTTTGTTTCTTATAAAAAAAAACAATTGCCTAGTCATAAGAGAAGTTTGGCGCCTTATTAATCTTAAAGACTAATAGGTGGCAATCAAAGATTAACCTGAAACATGGTGGATGGTTTACAAGAAATTAACTATCAACTATGGGGAAAAAAGAGCATGAACTCTATATAATCATGCACTATCAATAAGTTCGTGTAATGTGATTTTCCAAATTATAGCTATATATTTTGACAGAAAATTAGAGCGCATTATTACTAGTTTAATTTCTGAGTCTGGTGATTACAAGGGATAATTTTATTGCAAATGGAGTTTTGACACTTTTTCTAAAGGAAGTCGGTTGAACTTGTCTTATAGGCTTTAGATCCTATATGAAGATATAATATGATAGGTTGCAATGATTCTTCATTAGGGCTGCCATTGCAATTGGATATACATTTAAGAATCAATTGGATTATGCTATCATTTATTTGATTGCAAGGATTGAGGATGATTTGTTGTCCTCTTAGTTATATATGTGCATGAAAGCATCTTCATGGATGATAGATAAAAGTTAAAAAATAAAATTAACAAAAAACTGGAACCAGAATTTGGATCAACACTGATTCCACATGTGATTTGTATGGTCACCTTGTTTTTTTTCTAACAATTATCTTTTGCTTGTGAATATTTAGTATGTTAAGTTAGTATTTATGATGAAATTTGGAGCCAACATTGGTAGTAGAGTGTTCTCCCACAGTTGTCCTACATCAGAAGGTGGTTTGAAAATATTGACAGACCATTCAAATCCATGAGATTTATGATAACAGTGTGATGTCCTAGAAAAACAAATTCTTTCACCATCAGTGGGGTTTGGAAGAATATTTAAAGCTAGTGTTATTAAAGATGGAATTTACATGAGCCTTTGGCAATTTTAGTCATTGTGTTTTTGGTGTTCATAACGGGCATTTGAGAATGCCAATTAGGTGCTGAAAAAAATCCAGAATGCGGAGTTGAATGTGAATGTTCATGATGTGTTCAGGCTTATTAAAGGTTGGCTTGAAGAGAAGGTAAGGTATCTTACCCCTTATTGATAATCTGGCAGGATTAAGGAAATTGTTATCACTGTTGGGGAAATTATAGATCATTTATGGTGCAGTATAACAATATTGAGATTTCTGTCTCTCCAATAATCTGCTACTCAGGCATATACGAATAACAGGCAGCAGTCAGGACAAGCATGACTAATCTTCCCCTGGAATTGGTGTGGAATCTTAAAGAAGTTTGAAACATAAAGTCACTTCTCTTGACATCTTTTTGTCTATAGCCTATGGGTCACCAAATAATATGACTATTGGCTAAGAAAAATGTGCAATATCAAGGTGCGATGGGGGCATGTCTAGCACCATGCAACACAACAACAAATCTGCATTTGGAGGAACAAGAAAAGAAAAGCTGAGAGAGTGGGAGATCTCTAATCAGCTTAAGGCTATGAAAGAACATGATTGCCTAGGATTTTACCAAGATCATGGCTTTGCCAAGTGCCAACTCTTGTAACAGTCCATGTAGAGACTCCAATTTTTTATATATAGGCTTGTTGAGTGGTTGAAATACCTTAATCCATTTTCACTCTGTTTCTTTGTTTGGAGTACTTTGTGGCTGTTTTCAGGATCTTTTATGAATGGGTGCTACTGGGGTCATTTCAGTGTGCAGTATCACAGTTTAGGCATCCTTTGGTAAAACTCTTAAATTATTATTATTATGTGTCATAATGGTGAAATTTCTTGCAATGTTCTTGTCCGCATTCTTTTAGTGTTCTTCTCAGGCGCATCAGGGGCTACAATCCATGCGTAAAAATGATTGTTTGTATATATATAAGGGCAAAACGAGGACTTCTTGGATACATGAGCCAGCGTAAGTAAGATTTAAATCATACTGCATGACAGTGTCTGTTGCTCGTGTATCGTGTAGATTGGATTGATTAAGCTATCACAGCCTAATAATAGATTGGATTTTTTATGAGGTTTTTTGTTTTGCTTTTGTATCTCTAATGATGGACAGACTATATTTTATATTATTGCTTATAGAAAATAAATATAATTTTGGGCCATTGCAGATTTTGACCAACCATAAGAATGAAGTTTGGTTTGTCCAATTTTCCAATAATGGGGAATACTTGGCCTCGTCATCAAGTGACTGTACAGCTATCATATGGAAGGTACATTCTTAAAAAGTCTTATCTCATTGTTTGAATTCCTTCTCTTACCTTTGCACCACAATTGTAATTTCTTTTATGAATGTAAACTTGACTTTTGAAATGCATTTATTATTCCATAATCATGAGGGCCTGAAACCGGTTGATAGTTAGAGTTGTTGAAATTCTAGCCAGATTTTGTTGGGCTTACTTTCTTACAGCTGTCTCTTTCATCCAATCAGTTTCAGTAGCCATATCAACGTGAGGGTAGGACTGGCAGTCGAACAAGTTTGAGCCGAGCTTGAAAAGCTTGTTTCTTAATTGAGCCTAAAAAATGGTTCAAGTTTGGCTTGTTTAGGAAACAAGCCGAGCCTGAACAAACCAAAAATAAGTCGAGCCTGAGCCGAGCTCAAGTATTTGCACATAAATCAGTCGAGTTTGAGCCGAGCTTATAGGGTTTGTTTTTTAAATGAGCTGAAAAACTTGTTCAAGTTTGGGCACGTTTAGAAAACGAACCGAACCCGAGCCGAGCTCAAATAGCTCAGTTTGATTAACAACCTTACATGAGGGCACCAGTTTGCGTCCCAAACAGGCCAAAATCCTATATCCATCCTTATTCAATGTATTTGTATAATCCAAAATCGACAATTTCTTTTCACAATCACTGAATACCCAAACAGCAGTTGCGAAAACTGTGGAGACTGATGGAAGTTCGTTGCATATTATTGTATTATATCATGCCCCTGAGAGTAGGAGTCTGACTATTACTCAATATTTTCACTCTTCTTTTTGCTTGTTCAGGAAGATAGACCTTCTTAAGAACACACATTTGGGAAGTTGGACACTTAATCTTTAAGTGGCTTGAGTGACTCCAACTGCCAAATTCAGGTGAGGCTTACATTTTTAGTTTGATACAGACTCGTACCAAATCAGGGATGTGATTGTTCATAGATATTTCGTTTGCATGAGTTTAATATGATTTGACGTACAACTCTGTTTATGGCCTAACCTAGAGGACAATATTATTTTGATATTCACAAACTATAAGAACTAAAAGGTTTTTGATTCTACAAAAATATGACCCTTGTCCAGAAAAATGTTGAAATGAAGGAGTCCATGCCAAAGGCAACTTCTCTAACTTAGCTAGATCAGAAATCACTGGACTTGATTGATTAATTGAATCTTTTAGGTAGAAAACACCTCTGTAGCCAATGCCTTAAGTCAACTGATTTGAGGCCTGCTCATTGAGTTCATTGGATAAAATGACCATTTTGCGCAAGTTGGATGGCTTCCTTATATTGCAGTACTTTAAGATGTTCCCTTATATGCATTTTTGGTTGGTTGAGTTTTCGATATATGTCCAATTTCGGTAATTTCTCTTGGCTTAGAAATCCTCAATATCAAAGTTGAATTCTGTGTTTTTTTTCTAGGTTCTGGAGGATGGTAAGGTGACCCAGAAACACACACTACGAAGCCACCAAAATCCCGTGTCCTTTGTAGCATGGAGTCCTGATGACACTATGTTGCTAACTTGCGGAAATATGGAAGTACTCAAATTATGGGCTGTGGAAACAGGTACATGCAAGCACACATTTGGGAATGAAGGCTTCATTGTCAGCTCATGTGCTTGGTTTCCTGACTCAAAGCGACTTGTCTGTGGCAGCTCTGACCCTGAAAAGGGCATTTACATGTGGGACTGTGAGGGTAATGCGATCAAGGCATGGAAAGGGATGAGGATGCCTAAAATCTTGGATCTTGCTGTGACACCAAATGGAGAAAATCTTATCAGTATTTTTTCGGATAAAGAAATTCGGATATTGAACGTGGGGACAAATGCTGAGCGCGTCATTTCAGAGAAGCATGCAATCGCATCCCTTGCTATATCAGGTGATAGTCAGTTCCTTATTGTCAACCTTAACAGCCAAGAGATTCATATGTGGGATGTTGCTGGACAGTGGGGAAAGCCATTAAAGTATACGGGCCACAGGCAGCATAAGTATGTGATAAGGTCCTGCTTTGGGGGGTTGAATAGTACATTTATCGCCAGTGGCAGTGAGAATTCAAAGGTATGCTGTGTCTTTGCTAAGGTCCTCTATTAAGCTTCTTGACCCAATTTGTACCACCAAAGGAACCTGCATGTATACAACCACCTGTGCTTTAAGAAAATCAATTTATTTTCTGAGCAATTTAAACCAATGAGAAATTGTCTTAGCAGGTGTATATCTGGAATCGGAGATTTTCTAGTCCCATTGAGGTCTTGTCTGGCCATTCAATGACAGTGAACTGTGTGAGTTGGAACCCTAAGAGACCACAAATGTTAGCTTCGGCAAGTGATGATCAAACAATCCGTATTTGGGGACCAAGCCCTTCTAAGAAGGAGGTTTTGCCTAAGAAGCTTGTTTGAGCAGAATGGGAACCGAAGCACACAACTCATGTATATATAGCTTCTATTATGTTCTCTCTCTTCTTTTTTTTTTCCACTCCTGAATGTATTTGTGAATATTTTGTTTCTCCTGATCATATTTTTGGAGTTCGTATGTGTTGTAAATGGCCATTTCTTCCACCCACCTTTATGTCATTAGCTGCTGATTTGTTTCCTTAGCCGACGACCTCAAAGATGATAGGAGAAGACTTGGCTCAGATGAATTGAGTTGAGTTGTTAATATGTTTTCCTAGATGTTCAAACGCACCAAATTGTATACACTCTGCCTATTTACGATGATGGTTGGAATTGAATAATTACAGTTATATGAACTTAATTTGAACCCAGGTACCTGAGCATGGTGGAAATTATATCAGGATTTCATTAAATGTGGTAAGGTAGTATCTTCACTTTTAGTCTCATGGTACTGATGGCGGCAATATTATAGGGGAACCAGTGCTAGTGGGAAATGTTGGGCGGTAGGTAGGCAAATGGACGTGGGATTGGTCTGCATGTTATAAACTGGCCGTCCAGTCCTGGACAGCTCTCGGTTCCATAGTTGTTATCAAAATTAGACTGGACATTGAACCCGCAAGGATCGGGGTATTAATTTATCGGTTCAACTGTTGAATTAGCTGGACTGTTGAATTAGCTGGTCGGTACAGTTATATAATAAAAAAATAATAAATATTATTAATAACAATGAATATATTAAAAAATTTGAATAGGTACCGAAAAAATATTTTTATGCTATAATAGATCAAATTAGAAATTAAGAACACAAAAAAAAAAAAATCACAAATCACTTCTTTCCTTCAACAATTTATAAAATCTAATAGAATATTAACAATCCACGCATAGCAGCCTTCTCATGAAACCATGAAACCGATCACTATTGGACATCGAAGACGGGAACACAAGAACAGTGAAGATAGGATGAAACTGATCAGCCTCCTCATCGCAACTCCCCAAAGATGATGTCTGTTCGAGCAACAACAGGCCAATAACGTACACACAGACAAACCATAAACAGAGAGAGAAGACTCAAGTGGAGAGGATAGATAGAGAATTCACTTGGTGTTGAGATCGGATTGACCGGAGGCAGCGATCGAATGCACTGTAGAAATAGAGAAAGAAATGGAGTGGAGAAGAAGGGGATCGACTGGAGTTGGGGCAAAATTAGGAATTTTGGTCCGGTTTGACAAAACCTTCCAATTCACGTTTTTTGTCAAAACTTGGACGGTTTGGTGAATTTACTCCGGTTTAATTGCCCAGCGGTCCGATTCAAGAATCGGACCGGCTGAGGTCTCGGTTTATTATTCAATCGGTCAACCCAGTTCGATTTTGATAACAGTGCTCGATTCTTGAGTAGTCTGGGGACTAGAAGGCATTTAGAAAAAGCTACTCAGACTCAAAGTATGGCCGCTAATCAAGTCGAGCTCGTTTTTTTAAAAAGTATAATAGATTGTTTAAACTCAATTTGTTTTGAAAATGAGCCGATCTTGAGAAACTTGATTATTTTATATATAAACGAGTTGAAGTTTATGAGTTCAAGCCGTTTTTTAAACAAGTTTAAAAAATTATTCACGTTTATTTTGTTTAATACATAAATCGAGTTCGAGTCAAGTCTTACCTGAGTTGAGTTTGAATAACTCGACTCAATTATCAACTTTAACAAATTGCCTTCTTATATATATATATATATATTGGATAAATGATGGACAAGTTTTTCATAATTTGTAGAGGGTAAATATCAATTTAATTGACCACGGATTATTTGAGCAAATGGGTATTTATGCTTCCATTTTTTTTCTCTAAAAAATAAAACTATATGAATTACAATCATATTAATTGCAATCACAACAAATCTATATCTATGTCTATCTATATATTCTACTACTATAAATGTCAACATATCTGAAAAATTCTTGATTTTCTATTTCATCTCTATCTGTTCAAGTGATGTATTGCATTGAATAAAATTTTTCATATTTGTCTATATCTATACAAAGAAGTAAAGACGAATCTATATTATATTGTTATATAAATATAATTATCAAATTGACTTTTAAGGTCAAAAAAATGTTATCTTTATTTATTTTTTCAATAATTAAGTTTAACAAGAAATAAAATACAAATTAATTTGTTGACACCAAATTTATCATTTAATTTAATTACACATAAAATTTATATTTTTATAAATTCAACAAGAGAATTATTTTTTAAATTGTTCACATGCAACTTCGTTCGTTGGTAGTAAGAAAAAAAGCATGTATCGATTGTCTAATCTTTTTTTAGCTAAATCAATGTAATTGATTTGTCATTATGCTAACAGATTACAAAGCAGAAAATTATGGATAATTATATCAATAATGATTATATATTGGTGATGTAAATCTTTATTTGGTCAAAATACATGATATATTTACTCCATAAATGCTTATTTCATAATTTTTAGAGTATAATTGAGTTTAATATTTGATAATTCATAAATTTCAGATTTAACATTTTTTATATTTTATTTTTTAATCAGGCAATAATAACCGATATCTAAATTCGAGAGAATGACCGTTACAAAATTGAACACATTAAAAAAAAAAAAAAACATATTACATGTTTGCTACTGGTTTAATCTTTTTTTTCTTGGTCGAAATTATGAAGTTTAACGTGTGTGTGTGTGTGTGAGAGAGAGAGAGAGAGAGCCTTTTTTATTAATTACATAATACGCCTCTCACTTAGGGTTTGTCGCCATTTGAAATCCAAAATCGTCACGTTAGCACAGACCTATACCATCCTCACGCGTATTTATACACATATATACATTCATACAGAGAGAGAATCTCGAAGAAAAATGTAACAGTAATTGTGTTTAAACATTGATTTGTCTCTCTGCAACTTTTCTTTTGAAACTTCTTATTGTTTATGGTGAATGACATGATGGGACGATCATGGCTCGATGATCCGAACGAACTCTCCCACTCGCCTTCGTCTCAACCCCAGTTTCATCACAGGTATGAACAAATCTCCTCAATTCTCTCACACACATCTCAATTTTCCCACGTTTCTGATTACAACTGGATGATTTCGTGTTTGAATTCTACATCGATAATTGACAATTCCAGTGAGGCTAGGATGCTCCACACGACTTTCATCCACATCCATAACTAATTAGTTGAATGAGTTGTTTATTTAATTCAATTATCGTTGTTTGTTGTTATATATTTTTTGTTAGCTGTAATTCTAATTGATAGCACCGCCGTTGACTTGAGTCTTATGTAGAATTATCATCATCTGAATTGAATTGTAGGTTATTTAACCCTTAACTTTGTAAACTCCAACTTGCTGCAATTGTTCATACAGTTTTTTCTTTTTGTCTCCTAGGCTATTCAGAACCATGTTTTGTACAATTTTGCCGTGAAAACTTTATTTTTGGCAATTGATAGTATATTTGACCATACACTTTAGACTCATACTTCAGTTTTTTGGTCAGTGGTAGAAATGTCTATAGTTTGTTGGCACGGAGAGAGATATCTCCCAGAACGAAATGCGTGCCAAGAAGGAAGTGGGGAGAAGCTGCTAAACGGAATGCTGAATCTCCATTTCAGATTAAAAGTGAGGCAGTGATAGACGCAAGGCACAGCCTTTACTCATGGTATTCAGGAAGCTCTTACTCCATATTTTGTGGTTCTGCTTTCTTATGAACTCTAGACACAGTGTTAGAAATGCAATCAAATTGTTTTGCAAATAACTTTTCTTTTGCAGGGTAGAAGCAGAGTCTTTGTGGCATTTATCAGCCAAATATTGTCCTTTGATGCCTCCTCCACGGTCAACCATTGCAGCGGCATTTAGTGCTGATGGGAAAAAGCTGGCTTCTACGCAGTAAGCTATTGCTCGTCTTTTTTGTCGCCTTGGTTACATTACCTGCATTTCCTTTTCACTGATTTTTTCTCATTTTGCCGTTGGTAGTGGCGATCACACTGTAAAGATAATTGATTGCCAAAGTGGCAGCTGTTTAAAGGTGCTGAGCGGGCATCAAAGAACACCTTGGGTGGTAAGATATATTTGTGCAAGTATGCAGCAAATGGCCTATATTTTGCTTGGTTCTTTACAATTTAATAGTGCATGCTTTGATCCATGATATGAGCATCTTTTATCTGGTCTACCAATATTTGCATCTTGTCTAGTAGAAATTTTTCAAAAAAAAGTGATTTTTGATTTTTCTGGATGGTTCATTTAGCTCCAACTCAATTCCTCTCATCCCGTTCTCCCTACTATTTGACGTTGGGTGTATTGGTTTTTTCCTCACTGTAATGAGAAAGTTTTGACCGAGTTTGAAGGGAAAGTTAATGCACCAGATCAAGAGTCCAATGTAAGAACTGAACAAGTGAATTCCATTATATAAATCTATAATTTCCCATACTGTGGTGGAAGCATAGTCAGCGGGAACTCAGTTTTGCACCTATAAAATTGCTTTATTTCCCCTATTTAAGCTAAAAGGTAGTGATCTAGTTTGTCTATGGTTGAAGAAGACTAACTAATATCCAATTTTTTTTTTTACATTTTTTGAGGGAGAAGTAAAAATTCTTAAGAAACTACACTAGAGTCTTGTTTCTCATCTCAAAACGAAAAAAATCTTAAGAAACTAATCAAGAAAGCTGTGTTTTTTTTAGGGTAAGTCAACAAAGCTCTGTTTTAACTTTAAGTACCACTACTAATTGTATCTTTCGTTCTAGACTTATCATCCTCAATTTCTAGTGTGGTAGAGTATCTGTTTTATGTACTTGTATATGTATATGAACCTAATTGACCCTTACCCACCTTCCTTTACCATTTGAGCATGGTCCTGCGGCTATCTACATGTGTATTTTTGGTTCTTTCAGTGCATATGCTTAGCTGATTAGTTATCCATTTGGATGAACTTTACCATTGCTTGCCCTTTTTTTTTTCCTTTTGTGTTTCTGTGGAACTTTTCAGGTTAGATTTCACCCAGAGCATCCAGAAATACTTGCAAGTGGAAGCTTGGATCATGAAGTACGCTTATGGGATGCAAGCACATCAGAGTGCATAGGATCACGTGATTTTTGTAATTTCTTTTGCGACTGTTCTTCCTTTTTTGTTCTTTTTGTAGTCTTTTTATTTTTTGAGGAACAATTTCTTGTAATACTGCTGTCCCTAAAGCTTATGGATTGCATGCATTTGCAAAGCTGATTGCCCATTTCTTTTCTTCACAGACCGTCCTATTGCTTCCATTGCTTTCCATGCAGAAGGGGAACTTCTGGCTGTTGCTTCAGGGCACAAGGTGTTGATTACTTGATTTCTGACTTAACATTCTTTTATAGTTTCTCAGGGTTTATTTTACTTCATTTAAGATTTTTCCGTGTTAAGTATACCTGGCTTGGGAGTATTTGTTCTGCATTATCCATTACATGTTCAGTTAAATTCCAATTTCAGCTATATCTATGGCACTACAATAGGAGAGGAGAGGCTTCATCGCCTGCAGTTGTATTGAAGACAAAGCGTTCACTTCGTGCTGTGCATTTTCATCCAAATGCAGCTCCATTTCTTTTGACTGCTGAGGTCAGATTTTTCTAAAGGAATTTGCATTCTTTATTTACTTTTAACTGTCTTATAGATTATATTATTGCACTGATGCAGGTCAATGATCTTGATTCTTCAGACTCCTTGATGGCACAGGCGACATCGCCTGGTTATTTGTGTTATCCTCCTCCTGCTGTGTATATGGCAAATGGGCATTCCACTGATCATCTTAGCTTGGCGGCTGAACTTCCTTTGATGCCATTACCTTACATGAACGTACCTTCATCTGAAAGAGATTATTCGCGGGCAGATTTTCAAGTCTTCAACAGACCCTTCAATTCAAGTAGTGTAGAAGTGGAATCTGCACCAATGCAGTCCCGACTAGATGCAACTGCGATGGATCAGCATGACCGTGGGGTGTCTTCCATGGAGATGTCTCCTTCTATACCTTCAGACACTCATGCTGCAATGGAAGAGACTGTAGCTAATTATTACCATAATGGGGTGCAAAGTGCTGTTTGTGAGTTCACAACGAATACTACAGAAACCACTGAATTTCAACACGTGGAGAGTTACCGGGGGAGTGGCTCTTCCATCCAGGATATTTATGGTGGTGCCAGCAGTGCACCGCCAGTCATTTCCCATTCTTTTGGAGTACCTGGATCCATTCCTAATCAGCCTGATAGGGTTCCTAGTGAATTAAGACAACATCACTATTTACCCTTTAGAGACCCGGCATGTTGGGAATTTCCTTTTCTGCAAGGATGGCTAATGGGTCAAAGTCAAGCGGGCATGCATCAAATACTTCCTCTTGGCAGTGGTGCACATGAACATTCATCTGGCTATGTTGGGTTGGGTTCTGCCATCCTTACATCTGAATCACTTGCTCATGATGGAGAGGTTCCAGTGACTTCTTTAGCTATTTCGTCAAGCATAGATCGAGCTTTGATTTCAGAAAGACCAGTCCTTCGACATCGTCCTTCACGCACCCGCCTGACTTCTATACCCGAGTTCATGCAAGGCGATTCTATCCCTTTTGTCGGTAGAATACAGTCTGGAATTGTGACATCACTAGCTGCCAATACAGCTGCAGAGTTGCCTTGCACCGTGAAGCTAAGAATATGGTCGCACAACGTAAAAAATCCTTGTGCCCCGCTAAATGCTGAAAGGTGCCGGCTAACCATACCCCATGCTGTCCTTTGCAGGTATGATTAAAATTGTGGCATTTTAAGTGTACTGATTACCTGTGTTCATGTAGAAGCATCACATTTAGAGTTCTCATTTTATTCCAAATAATTTGGCTTTTCTTAAATGGGGTGTTTGAGTAATTGACCTCTTCATAGTATGCAAACGACTTTTTTTTGAGTTTTATTTTTGGGGTGTGTGGGTGTTTAACAAACTGCATATCAGTTGCCTGCTATGGATTGTATATTAGTTGTACGGATGGCACACTTCAGCTCAGTCAAATTCTAGAGCAGTTATTGCAATATTTTAGATATATTTTTGTTGAAGTATAAAAATTAAAGTTACACCCTCTCTAATAGCTTAAGCTTTTAGAGTAGATAATTGTTTAACTTGGTATCAGAATAGGAGGACTTGAGTTAGAATCTCGCCACCACTCCAATGATTAAAAGATTTTCACGTGCTAGGCCCAAAATTTGTTAAAGTATAATTTCTGAAGTTATACCCTTTCTAATAGTTTAAATTTTTAGAATAGATGGTTGTTTAATAATTCCTATACTCTGATCTTTTGTATGCATAGCATCATAACACCCAATGTGATTTCAGCGAAATGGGAGCCCATTTTTCACCTTGTGGGAGATTTTTGGCTGCCTGTGTTGCGTGTGTGCTTCCTCAAATGGAAACTGATCCTGGATTACTAACACAAATCCATCAAGATGTCACGGGGGCTGCAACGTCACCAACTCGGCACCCAATCTCAGCACGTCAAGTCATGTATGAGCTTCGAATATATTCCCTGGACGAGTCAACGTAAAGCCTCAATCCTTTTATCAATTTATTTGATCCTTTTAACTTTTTTTTTTCTTTGTACTTCATTTAAGCAATGTTGTTATTTAGTTACGTAATATTCATACTATGTAAATAGATTTGGTTCGGTGCTTGTCTCAAGGGCGATTAGGGCTGCTCATTGTTTAACTTCTATCCAGGTTAGTTGTTGCTGTTGATATGTGAAAACTTTTATTTTCTTCAATTTACTAGATTGTTTCAGTTTTTTGTCTTGTATCTCTGCCCAATGGATGGCTCATTGAATGTGGTCAATTTACTAGATAGTTTCTGTTTTGTTTTGGTGTCTTATCTGTACCTATATGGATGGATCATTTGTGACTATCTGTCAAAAAAAAATCATTAACTCTCTCTCTTCTTTTTCTAGAATCTGAAATATCAAGATCTTGAAAATTTTAATAATCTGGTTGACATCATTTATAGTGAAACATGCATATTTGGTGTTGCTTTTTTTTTTTTAGAGGAGGGAGTTAAGGCTGTTGCTTATTGTAGTTTCTTTCTGCTGATACCACAGCGGTTTATGATATCATTGCATTAAACTGAAGGTCAGTGGCTAGGCCAACCCCCTGCATGCTCCACGCACCCAACCCAAGGGGATTGGGGGTGGTTTGGTGAGAGAAAAGATCTGATGGCCTTATTCAATCCCTGCAAAATTCTTAGATCATTTGCAAAGACATGCATTACTGTCATATGGAACTTAATATTTCAAACGATATATTTTTGGATAGGTGAACTATGGTAATTGTTGGGTGTTTTGAAATGCTTGAACTCTATTGATGTTGCACGGGTACCTTGGATGTTGGCTCCTGAATTGTGTGTGTTTCCTGCTTTTCTTTATTTCCTCCTGATCCCATCCTCCCCCCTAATTGCAATAAGAAGTCTTGAGATCCATAAATTTAATCTTGGAGCCTGTAAACTGTGTTTAAATCAAGACTTTGATGGTATTTTGAATGTTGCTACACTTTACATTCCTTCCTACTCATTCAAATTTTCACCTTTCTTGGGTGCTTAAAAGTTGTTATTGCGGGTTAAACTTATTTCCTTTGTTCATGCAGTTCTCACCTACCTCTGAACACATATTGCTTGCTTACGGTCGACGTCATGGTTCTCTTCTCAAAAGCATTGTCATAAATGGAGAAACATCAGTGCCTATTTATACAGTTTTGGAGGTAATGTCCAGTATGTCACTTGGGTGACAACAAAATGCTACTATAACTTTATGGATATGTGATCTGAAAATTGCTGAACAATCTTGCTCATTTATCACATAAGAGCCGGACAACAAATTGCAATTAATAGTTTTACAGTAATATTTTGAAAATTAGAATTTAGAGTCATATTTTTTAAAAAGGAGCTATTGGTTATAGTTTATGGTGATGCATTTTTCTGCTTTTGGTGTGAGTTGTTAAAAGGGAATGGGAAAAATTATTGTAGATATGACGAATAATTTGCAATATCTGTGGATTTAGGATGAAATGTCATCATAGCAACTGCCTGGGTAGTCCTACAGCTATATTAATCATAGGTGGCCGTGACATTTGGTGCTTGTAAAAGAGATGATGTGTAACACAGTATACGAGATATCTTCTGGATGAAAAGAATTGATGTAAATAAGTCTCATAACGTAGTGAAAAGAATTGACTTCTACCTCCTTAGATGATGCTGCTGATGAGATTTCTATGGAGTTGCAGAGACCTCTATGTGTATGCTGTGTTGTGAGATTTAACATATCTGGTTGATTTGTTGGTCGAATGCTTTGCTGCCACTTGTCCCAAATTTACTATTTAAACTCCTGGGTTCAGGTTTACAGAGGTTCAGATATGGAACTTGTGAGGGCGCTTACTAGTGCAGAAGATGAAGTGAATGTAGCGTGCTTCCATCCTTTGGCTGGAGGAGGACTTGTCTATGGCACCAAGGTTTGTAATGGATAATGTCAGGAAAATTTTATTTATTGGGATTAGCTCTCGAGTTTGCAAGATACATTTTCCTTTTTCATGCAGGAGGGAAAGCTCAGGGTCCTGAAATATAATGGTGCTCATGGCGTCAGCTATTCCGGACCAAATTTTTTTCCAGAAGAAGACATGGTTGAGGTAGAACTGTTTTCTAAGTTGTGGTAGATTTGGACTTCTAAGCTCTGTTGACGCAAACACCTCATTGAAACAACATTTGCTTATATTATCTTAAACCTCTAACTCCTTTAACTGAATCTTATTGTTTTCTTAGCCCCTCTAACTGATCACGTGTAACATTTAATACACCCTGTTCTTAGATGAACTTGGATGTAACACTTAGATGTCTTACAACTTCAGATGAAATGCAGGCATATCCGTGCTGTATATGCTTGAATCCTTCAAGCCCTATGCCCGTCCCATTCCAATTCCTGTTTTTATTGCATTGCCTCTACGTCTTTTCTACCCCGATTAAGAAAGTTCCAAGGCCTGGGAAAATAGACATTAGACCATTAATGAATATAATGAAGAGACAAAAGCTGATTGTCTAGTAATCATTATGAGGTTGTAAAATGATGCTCTGAGCTTGAGGTCCACTAGAAACTCGCGTTTAGCAAGTACATTGTGAGGGAATGTCAGTATTCTACAATTATCTTATACAATTACCGAGCTAAGCGGTTGACTAAGAGATGCAGGTATGCTTAAAGTTAAATTGGGGTAGGCCTTAGTTTCCAGATGATTTGACTATCATATGGACAGAATACATGCAGTCAATGCTGGGAATTCTTTATATAACATTGTGGATTCCTCTTTGAACAAGTAGCTGATATTTGTCCAATCGCAGTTGTTTTTATTTTTCTAAGCTGTTTTTTCTTGGAGCTGGAGGTTTTTTGTTGTTAGCCCCCACCCAAAATTTATAAAATGTCGAAGAATTGTCCATATGTTGATAAAATGTTTTTTTTTT